CTAATTTAACTCAGCATAATGTCTTCCCAAGGTCATCTACATGTTGTGAGGTGTTTCACAGAATCATCATTCTTCTTCAACATTGCATAGTATTCCATCCTGGACTGTAAGATTCACTACTCCCTCCTTTTTGTTAAGCAACTTATACTATCATGTCTACTCTGGCATAAATTTGAAAACTTCAGTAATAATTTCTAGAAAGAAACCCAACTGCTCCTCTAAGACTTTTAATACCTTCTACAATTTGACCACAATCTAATTGGCAACACAATTCTCTCATGCTCCCTGTGTATCAGAGCAACGAAATCACGCCAAGTTCCCAGACCATCACTGAGCCTCGCTCGTTACATCTCTGGCTTCATCCAGACTTCCCCTTCCTTGGAATAAATTTACTGGCTCACTTCCTTCTCCTCCATTTCTGCCTAAGTACAATGGTCCATCTACCTGGAATACTTCCCTGCTTGCTCCATATAGTTGGGATTTCCCCTTCATCGGAATTGTTAGAAATGTTCTGAAGGAAGAAATCAAAACAAGTCCTGGGTGTTCCAGATGTTGCGTTAGGTAGTTTGTACATGACAAGCCTTGTCTCATTTAAATCTGTCAACCTTCTGCGAGGTAAATAGCACCCTTCAGAAAGAAAATGAGGATCAGAAACATTAAGAAACCTTCCCAGAACATTCTAGAAGGGTCTGTGCACAGCGTGGAGCCCATACAAAGGTCTCCCATAGATGCCTGTTGAATGAAGTGGCAACCAAGAGACAGAACACCTTTCTGTCTTTCTTCACATTAAAAGTGTCTTCCTTATGTCCTTATTGACTCTCTTCTCAACATGTGCCATTTGGGTCACTATAAGTCAGAACCGACACAACAGTAACCGTTTTTGCCATAATAGTAATGAACATTTTAGAAACGCATCAACAATGGTTACCTTTCATATAGGTGGTGGTTGTTGTTGGTAAATGCTGTCGAGTCGATTCTGACTCTTAGCGACCCTGTATTAGGATTTCCACTGGGCAGCTGGTGAGCTTGAACCACCAACCTTGCAGTTCAAACGACTGCAATCTGATGCACTAGCCCACAGCGCCACACCAGGTAGCCCCCCAGATTCCTATCATGAGGCACATTTGAAGTAGAAGTCCATTTGTCCTTAATGTAATGCCCCCTTCTCCTTCTGGGCACTGCAGACTTCATAGAATAAGTACAGACTAAGACTCTATGAGGGATGGTCCTTCCAAGGTTGCTTTTTTCCACTCCGGGGGATATAGAACCCACACCTGAGTTCATGTTGGATGCCATCGTCAGTTCTTCAATACATCATCCACCTGAGCCTTCATAAGTATACACATACATGCCCATGGTCACTCACTCATAGGAAGTTTATTGCAGAGTTTAAGGAACCTTCACATCCCATGCTGTTACTAATGGCCAAAATAGGCTGTTACTAATGGCCACAACCTGAGATGCTATTTGCATTCTGGATGGGGGTGCTGGATCCTAGCACTTGCCTTATTTCTACTGGAAAGCTTGCCAGGAAGAGGAATGCAACAGGCATGGAGCTAAATAAATGACAATACTAGCAACCTGTAAGAAGCTCTAGTTGTGTGGTATTTACAAGTAGGGTTGCTAACCTCAACCATTCTGTGGGAAACTACCAGCCATTCTGTGGGAAAAAGATGAGGCTCTCATAAAGATTTACAGCCTCGAAAACCCTATCCAGGGTTGCTATGAGTTGGAACTGATTCCATGGCCCACCACCACTATCAGATACCTGTACACAAATAGTACCCCCATACAGAACTTTCCTGTTACAAGGAAAGTACACACGCAATCTAAAAAGAAGATAACCAAAAGGCACATGGAATACGATCCTGACTAGATGTATGTAGAATGAAGACTAGATAGCTGTGAACCAACATTTCTGATTATAACCATTGGCCTTTTTTTTTTTTTTTTTAAATGTGTTTCTATACTTTCCAAATTTCTACAATAAACACTCACAGCCTTCTAGTGAGGGAAAGAAAAAGAATATAAGGAAACTAGAGAAGCAAAGCAGATGGCGGTTAGACTTCTACTAATGGAAATTCATTGCTAGCTCATACTCCTTTCAGGGTTAGAGTCCTCATTTCAAGATATTCAAAGACTACAGAGTCTGAGAACTTGGATGTCTTTTCCTTCAGAAGGCAAGAAGAACAGGGTATTGGAAAATGAAACATCCATTTGGGGGGTACAACTCAGGGGATGAGATGAGTCTGGATGACTTTGGTAGGAATTCAGATGCTTTTATATCTGTGCCTTTAAACCTTGCTGAGGAGAGAGCCTGCTTGTCAGGCCCACACCTGACTCTAGAGGACAATTCCCCTCTTGCACTCCCTGTACCGACATGCCGTCCCATCCATTAGAGAACATAGCTACTAAGTTCGACCTGAAAACTATGTATCTATTTCCAAGAATGAGCATGATGTCTTTAAAAAACAACAACCATGGGAGAAAGGCAGAAAACCACTTTCTTACTCTCCTCATCTCTCTCTGAATGCAGAAAAAGGATAGAGACATAAAGAGAGAACATTTTAGTCCAGTGGGCAAGACAGACACTGCGCTCCACACTTTGAAAGCTGAGAGCCATCCAAGATTAGTAAGAAAATCATGACTATTTTCCTTAAGAGGTTACAGCAAGAACAGACTTCAAGGAAGATAAAAAGAAATCCTCTACGTACAAGTGATAAGTGTGAATTGTGAGAAAGCTGACAGGTCCAATGACAGAGAAGCCAGTGAGAGGTCCTTCCCGAGCTCCCTCCTGAAGCCAGTGGCAGTCTCTGGAAGGGAGAATGCCAGTGAATTATTACAGACATTAGGATGCCTGGGGCTCCGTTCCATCAGAAACCCAAAGAGAGAAGGGGACAAAAACAACAGAAGACACCAATTTGGTGGAGTGGAGCTGGAGGGGCCAGTCCAGAGCATGTGGGCCACTTTCTGTTTCTGTTTGGAGAAGCATCCAAAAGGGCCATGCTGACTTGAAACACATCCGGGCCTTTTTGATTTAGGAATAACATGAGAGAATTAACTTTGATCTGGGCATTACACCCTAGCCACAGGATTCTCAAGACTTCCTGGCCTTGGTAACAGGCATCCTGAGGAGTCAAAAATATGCTTTATGCTTCCAGCCTTAAGGGCATGACACACAAATGGAACAATATGGAAAGACCCAACAAAAACAGGGGGTGAGCCATTTGTACCAAACTCTGTGGGAATATCTGTGGGACTATGTCAAATATTATGGACATGTCCCAAATATGTCAAGCTTTTCCTTCACTTCTCAGTTCCTTTAAATTTCCGTATCTAGAAATCTATCTAAACAACCGTGGAGAGAACAGTCGCTTCAGAAGGAAACAATGCCAAACAACAACAACAACAAATAAAAACAAAAACAAAAAACACCCCCAAACTCACATTCTTAGATGTACTTTTGTAACTTCAAAACAAGATCACATAAAACCATTCCTTCATTTTTTGTTGTCAGGAGCCATCAAGTCGGTTCTCATAGTAACTGTATGCACAACAGAGTAAAACACTGCCTGGCCCCTGTATTTTTATACATTTTAGATTTTAAAAAATCAGTCTTTAGCTGGGGAGTCTCTGTGTGTGAGTGTGGGTGTGGATGGGGGTAGCATATGAATAAATGGTGATTTTCTTTTGTTTTTGTTTTTCATTCAGCTGAAGTTTGGGTGGCTACATGTGTAAGTATTCTAATTTATTACCTGGTCACAGTGACTGTCTAAAAAGATTGCTACCACTTTCTAAAACCTCATTGCATCTCTGACATATGCATCAAATATCTGTAATCAAAGCACCAAAAATTATAATAAGATTCATCTTTAACTCTCAGTGATGGGGGCACTTTATTTGTTAACTGTCATACTCTAGCCTCTCACTTCCTACTCCCCCCTCCCATCACTGTCTCAGGTTCTTTGTGTAATGTCGGACTACTTCACATCACAGTGCTGATTCCCAGTGTCCCTAGCAGTTAAGTGGCACACACAGGACATGCCCCACCTAGGAGACATACAATGAGGGGCACAGTGAGTGCTTGGATTTAAAATATACTTTCAGAAATAAACATTCCTAAATATATGGGATTCTTACAATGAAAACTCACTTACTCAACACTCTCCAAAGGTCACTGCCATTAGCTATGAGGAATCTAGACACTGGGGCCTGGAGCTAGGCAGTGACTTGGGGTTAATACTGAAGAAGGACAGGAGGCAGGGACTGAGTCCCACAGCTATCTCTGGGGTTCACTGATCTTTGTTTATATGCTCTCGCAAGAGTCCCTGGGAGAACACAGGGACTTTCGTGGGTTTGGTGTAGGTCTGTATATTTCTATGTGGACTGTTGTTTTTGTGTAGACAGTGACTCCCCTTCCTGAGACAGAGACAGTGATTTTCCATCTTCAGTCTCTGCCAGCAAGGTCCCCAGACAGTCCTCACCTATGCTCTACTGGGTTCCTCCACCCACCACGCCCTCCATAGAGCACTCTGGACCGAGATAATAGTGGCCCATCTCCTCACCAAGAGCAGCCAAACTCAACCATCTGCCACTGCAGGAGTTTGAGATTAACCTGGCCACCAGACCATGACTGCCAGGCATTTGCATGTGAAGATTACAGGAACATGAATACCCTTGTCCAAAAAGAAATAAAGGGGAGAACTCCACCCCCACCCCACCCATTACCTCCTTTGGCTTAACCCTTTCCTAAATGGATTCACCGTGCAACAGTTCCCAGCATCTTGGTCTGGATGCCCTTCCCACCACTTGATGGGATGATAGAGAGAAAGCTAGAGGGTGAGGACGATTACCTGGTCATGCTCAAGGTTGGTACCTTGACTTGGGGGCTGGAATACAAGACGGGGGTTCCTGCCCTTGTTGCCAAGTTTGTTTGATCATGACCAAACCAGGTAACATTCCACTTTTCAAAATTATATAAAACGATCAGTGGGACTTACCTGTGGCTGAAATCCTTTGAGGTCACTGGCTGCGAGGTCACTGGCTGCAAGAAGCTGTAACAGAAGAAAGGTGTTTTCCTTAGTGATACTCCTTAAAGTTTGCACACAGTATCCCCAGGACAACTAACCAGCCATGGACTCCCCAGAGCTTAGATCCAGAGTTACGGAAGCAAAATCACTAAAGGCCTAAGCTGGACATGAGTGATGTTTCAGGGTCAGGAATCTAGACTGCACATCTTCTCACCTTGTCTTCACCACATCTTTGACTGCAAAGCTCTCACTTGCTTCCCTCCCCACTACTTTCTTACCTTTCTACATACTACCAGTTCTTCAAAGGATCTCAAGTCAGGGATCACGGACTCTGGGTAGATTTCAGCAGGCCCACAAATCCCTTGACATTTTAAATATAATATCTGCGAGTCTACTTAAAAAAAACAAAAACACCCTAATCGGGTGCTGTGGCATCACCTCTGATCCCTGGCATAGTAAAAGTAAGCATCAGAGGGCTTTCAAAGGCTCAGTTTATAGAAGTAGAGACAGAGATTTTTCTTCCAAGGTATCTCTGGGTGGATTTGAACCTCCAACTTCTCAGTTAGTAGTGTGTCACTCGGGGACTCCATGTGCAAGTTTATATGTGTTGTTGTTGTTGCTGTTACGTGATGTCAAGTGGGTTCTGACTCATAGTAGTGATCCTGGATAGGGTTTGAAAGAGTAACTAAGGGATTTAAACTGACTAGCTTTCAGTTATCAGTACACTGCTTACCTTACAGTGCCACATCAGGTCTCCAAAGTCTACACTGTTATTGCTAAATTATGTTGAGTCTGTTCTGACTCATAGCGACCCTATATACTGTTTCCGTGAAGCAGCAGTGGGTTTAAACTGCTGACCCTGTACTTAGCAGTCCAGTGCTTACATAGTCCAGTGCATATAGATGCATATTTCCTGTATGCACTATTCATTCACATTCAGAGAGTGTCTGAATTTCTTCTTATTATCAAATAAGTTTAAGATGCAAATTGTTAAGAATGACTGCTTCAAAGATACTTAAAGGCCTGTCTCCTCTGGGGTAATGTTTCTTTCTTTTTTAAATCAGAGAAGGACAAATGACTGTCCTCTTTTGCACTACATGTAACTCAGGTTTCCCATTGTCATAGGTTCCTTTGATTTTATATACTATTTAGATGTTCATAGCTGATGTAACAAACTCTCATGTACAATATCAGAGGATGAGAATCATGTTTATATATTTTCCACACCTCTGTATATAATCAATATTAGAGAGGAAGGTTAAGGTTTTAAATATTTTTGTCCCCTCTCCAGGGTTTTGCACTAGAGAGCACTCAATAAAAACAGATGATTAATGAATAAAGTAATTGCATTCGTTCCTCTTGTTCCAAAATGCTGGGGGAAGCATAGGATATAAAGAAAAAAAGGGCAGATGCTTATTTTGATTCAAGGAGTGTGACTGCTAGCTTTGTTAGGCCTGGAGAGCATCTGTGAAAAATAGGAAAGATTGCATGTTTGCTGTAACAATATTTTGTTTGGTTCAAGAGAGAGAAGGAGTCCTGCTGTGCTTCAGTGCCTGCAGACTTCACAAAAGCTCAACTGGGCTTTTTGCTTCCCTAAATGACCCTGACAAAAGAAGGCAGAGAAGTGCTGTTACAGCTGCAATCGAGCAGACAGGAGGTGGAGAACCCAAAAGCCACCATCTTCTCCCCATACCTAGTCCTGCTGGGAGATTTCAGCATGTGGACAGTGCCTGGGGGAGGCAGGAGGATCCTAGGATAGAAGGCCAGTTCACCCCCTCTCTCTGACAATAATTAGCCAAATAACCAATTAGTGCACTTCACTTGGCACCAAGGACCTAACATTGACGAGCCTAGCCCTTGCCTTGGAGGCGCTGTGTCCCAGCAGCAGAATTCTTGTCTTCTATGCTGGATGGAGACCTGCATTTGATTCCTGTCCAGTGTACCTCGTGCTCAGCTACCACCCATCTGTCAGTGGTGGCTTGTGTGTACCAGTGATGCTGATCAGGTTTCAGTGTGTTTCTGAGACGGGGCCTAATTCTGAAAATCGGCCAATGAAAACCTAGGAATCACAACGCTGATCCCCAACTCGGTGGCTAACAAGAAGAACAAGAACAAATGCTTGCCCTTGCCTTCAAGGGACCTATAATTGAGCCAAAGGATAAGATATATATATAAACTCTGGAGTTCTGGTGTGGTGCTGTGGCTTAATGCGCTGGATTGCAACGTCGGTTTGAATCGCAAGGTCAGCAGTTCAAGCTCACCAGCAGCTTCTCAGAAATCCTACACAGGGTTGCTATGAGTCGAGTCTGAACCCACTCAAAGGTACTTTACAACAACAATAAAAACTCTAGTAGGGTAGTGGTTAACAGTTGGGTTGCTAACCTCAAGGTCAGCAGTTCTAATTCGCAAAACTACCAGCTGTTCCATGGGAGAAAGATGAGGTTTTTCTGCTCCTGTAAAGATTTACAACTGAGGAAAACTTATACAGGGTCGCTGTGAGCCAGAACCTGCTCCACGGCACACAACCATTACATATGTGTGTGTGTGTGTGTGTGTGTGTGTAAGAAGAGCATGGAGTATTTTGTATGGTACTGTAGGATAAGTACTAGACTGCTAACAGAAAGGTTGGCAATTCAAACCCACCAGCCGCTCCTTGGAAATTCTATTGAAAATCACTATGAGTCAGATCTGACTCCATAGCACAACAGGTTTAACAAGCCACAGCAGACATTAGGGAGGAAGAAGGGAATTATGACCAATGAGGAGAGAGCAAGAGATCCAAGAACAGTGGCTGCTTTATACCACGTCTCCTTTTCTATCCTCACAATTCTTTCATGAGGTAGAAAGTATGTTCATTTCATGGATGGGAAATTGAGACTCAAAATTAGAGGAAACAGCTGCAAATATCCATTAATAATAATAATCTGAAATGTTCCAAGTATCAATCTAAAAGAATTAGGTTGTAAAAATTAAAAGGAATGCTTTTAATGCTTTTAATTTTTTAATAATAAAGATCAATATCCTAGGCATTAAAGAATTGAAATGGACTGGTATTGGCCATTTTAAATCAGATATCCATATGATCTACTATGTCAGGGATGACAAACTGAAGAACAATGGGTCATATTTAATTTAAAAAAATTTTATTTTTCAAGATCCATCTTGGAGTATAAAACTATCAGTATTAGGACAGTATCTATAAGTCTATAGGGAAGATCAGTTAATACAATTACTGTTCAAATTTATGCACTAACCACTAATCCCAAAGATGAAAATAATGATTCTTAGCTGCTTCTGCAGTCTGAAATTGACAAAACAAGCAAACAATCTGCACTGATAATTATTGGTCATTGAAACACAAAAGTTGGAATCAAAATATAAGGATCAATAGGTAGAAAATATAGATTTGGTGATAGAAACAATGCCGAAGATAGCATGGTAGAATTTTTCAAATGACTTTTTTTCAATAATACAAATGGCGACTATATACAAGGACCTCGCTGGATGATACACACAGGAATCAAATTGACGACTTCTGTGAAGCTGCAGATCATCAGTCAGAACAAGGCCAGGCAGGGGCCCACTGCAGAGCAGACCATGCTCAAGGTCAAGTTAAAGATAAATAAAATGAAAGCAAGTTCATGGGTATCAAAGTACACCCTTTTAGTATATCCCAACTTAATTTAGAGACCACCTCCACAACAAAACTGACCAGACAGATTGTGGCATACTATCAAGGATACCATATATTAAGAAAGAAAAAAGGTCATTAAAAACAGGAAAGAAAGAAAAGACCAAAATGAATGCCAGAAAAGACCCTGGAACTTACTGTTGAATGTTTATTATCGAAAGTGAATGTAAGACGTGATGAACTAAAAGCCCCAAATAAAAGATTTCAAAGGATAATGAAATATGCAATGATCTGGAGTTAAAAATCCAAAAGTGAAGAACATACTGGATGTTTCTCAAGCTTAAGAAAAAAAATCATGCTGTAAATTACAAGATAGAAGTATTCTATGGGCAAAATATCAATTGATAGGTTGTTGCTATTAGGTGGCATCAAGTCAATTTCAACTCATAAAGAAACTATGTATTAACAGAATGAACCACTGCCTGATGCTGCAATATCCCCGCCATTTGTTACATTTCAGCCAATTGTTACCATAACTGTGTCAATCCATCTCTGAGGGTCTTTTTCTTTTTTGCTGACCCTTACTTTTATCAAGCATGATATCCTTCACCAGGGACTGGTCCACAGTACTATGTCCAAAGTATGAGAGACAAAGCCTCGCCATCTTGGATTCTGTGGAACAATCAGGATGAACTTCTTCCAACAAAGATGGGTTTGTTCTTCTGCAGTCCATGGTACTTTTAATATTCTTTGCTAATGCCATAATTTAAATGTATCATCTCTTCTATGGTCTTCCTTATTCACTGACAATCTTTCATGTGCATATGAGGTGATTGAAGATACCATGGTATGGGTCAGGCGAATCTTAGGTCTCAAACTGATAACTTTGTTCCTGAAGACGTTAAAAAGGTCTCTTGCAGCAGATTTGTCCAATGCAATATGTCAATTGATTTCATGACTGTTGCTTCTATTAGTGTTGACTGTGGATACAAGCAAAATGAAGACTTTGACAACTTTAATCTTTTCTCCATTTATCATGTTGCTATTTTTTTAATGCAGCTGTGACGATTTTCATATTTTTTACACTGAGGTTGCAATCTTTGATCTTCATCAGCAAGTATTTGAAATCCTCTGTGTTTCCAACAAGCAAGGTTCTATCAGCTGCAAATCTCAGGTTGTTCATCAACATAGGAATCAGCAAAAAGATGATGGGAGGAATATAGAGTCAACATCCAACCATTTCAGGAGGTAGCATACGATCAAGAGTCAATGGAATTGAAGGAAGTAGGGCATCATTGTTCGTAAAATAGAGGGTCAGCAAAACAAAACAAAACAAGGAAGACTGTCAACAAGGACTGACACATTGACTACCAACAATTGTGAGGATGGCATC